AAAAAAAAAAAAAAAAAAATCAGAGAGAGAGATTGACTAGGATGTGTGATAGCTGATATCATTTACCCCAAGGTTAAAGCAGGTCTGTGCTGATAATTTCAAACCCTGTTTCTAGCCCAGATCTCACTCTTAAACCCCAAATCTACAGATTCAATCACCATTTTATGGAAGTGTTACTGAATTTTTTAAGATTCTTCAAATTCAACATATCTTAAACTCACTTATTATCTCTTCCTTCTCCAATTTGAGTTGTTTTTTCAGCAATGCTACCACCAATCACTCAATAACCACATTTAGAAAACTGAACATCATTTTAACCATCCTCTTTTCCAGAATGGGGATGTAGCTTAATGGTGGAAGTTTTGCTTACTCTCCAAGACCAAAAAGGAAAAAACAAACAAACAAATAAAAACAACTATCTTCTATCTCCTTTTCTTACTACCTACCATTTGTTCCTTGCCCCTCATCATTTAAAAAACTCAGTTTCCACCCGCCCTGTGGTGGCCCACACCCGTAATCCCAGCTTTTTAGGAAGCTAAAACAGGACAATCACAAATTCAAGTCCACCTGGACAATTTAGTGAGCCTCCCTTCTCAAAATAAAAAATAAAAAGGGATGAGGATTTAGCTCAGTGGTAGAGCACCCTGGGCTCAATCGCCAGTGTGGCAAACAAATAAACAAAAACCCTCAGTTTCCCTCATGTACTAAACTCTACTGTGTTTTTCTTTTCTCAGTCTCTTTTTTCCCTAGGGATTGAACCCAGGATCTCATGTGCTAGGCAAGTCATCCACCACTAAGCGACACCCACAGCTCTCGTGTTTTTTGTTTGTTTTTGAGAGAGGATCTTGTTGTGTTGCCCAGGTTGGCCTCCAATTCCTGTGATCAAACAATGCTCCAGCTTCATTTTTTTTTTTAAGGGGAGTAAAGAGGATTGACATACAGAGCTACATGCCCAGCCCTTTTTATTTTTGGATAATGTCTCATTAATGAATCTGACCTTGAACTTGTGATCTTCTTGCCTCAGACTCCAAAGTCTCCTACATAACATGCCACTGCAGCTGGCCTGCCTCAATCTTCTGAATAGCTAGGAACGAAGCCTGGCAGCACCACACCTGATTTAAAGTCCATTTTGTTTTCACCTCTTAGAACATGTTGTTGGTACCCCTCATTGGAAGGACACCTCCTTGATTGTTTTATCTTGTTCCAATTCTTCTTTCAAGGTTCCAATTCTTCTTTTTAGTTCAAGCCAGATGTGATGCCATGTACCTCTAATCCAGCAGTTAGGTAGGCTGAGGCAGGAGGATCATTAGTTCAAAGCCAGCCTCGGGTATTTAGGGAGGCCCTAAGTGACTTTGCAAGATTCTATCTCAAAATAAAACATAAAAAGGCCTGGGAATGTGGATCAGTGATTAAATGCCCCTGGGTTCAATCCCTGGTACCAAAAAAAAAAAAAAAAGGGGTGGGGGGTGTTTCAAGGATTCCTTCTAGAAAACTTCATTTATCCTCCCAAAAGTTTGTTTCTATATTTGTCTCTTGTCTCACTTAGCCTTGGAAACTTTGAGAGAAAGATCACATCTTGGTACTTTGTATAGCCAACAGCAGTTTCTGCTCATTATGGGTTCAAAATGTCATTAATTTAAATTGGCCTAATGGAAGAACATGCTACATATGCTATCATCTATTTAGGATCCTTCAGCAGCTGCACTGCCTCCCATAATGGGCTCTAGGGAAAATCCAGAATGGCCCTCACGGCCCTGGGATCCCAGATCTGAACTCACCCAGTTCATCTGTGGAAGGCTCCATATCAGCCAGAACTGAAAAGGCACAAAACAGCAGGTGTGAGGAGGGCTTTGAAATGCAAGGGGTAAGGGAGAGTAGGAAAAAGAAGAACAGAGGGCAAGGTCAGGACTACTGCTACCTTTGTGTATGATGTCCAAGGGAATAGAATTTATAAAATTAATTGGGAATATCTTTTGAAGAATATTGCTCCTATTGAGATTATGTTAATTTTTGAATGCTTGTATTATTATCTAAGCCTTATTTAGCTATTTAGTTCACTTTGTTCCACTTTTTAAAGGACTATCGACCTCTCTTATCCCATGGTCACTGAACAATACTCCCACAACCCCTTTATTTAGAGCTTAAAATGTAGCATTAATTCAAGAATTCAAGATCCATTCAAGATCTGGAATATTTTTAACAACATCATGAATCAGAGTTTTCTTTCTCTTCTTCTTCTTTTGGTACTGGGGACTGGACCCAGGTGCTTTACCACAAAGCAGCATCCCCAGTCTTTTTTGTTGTTGTTGTTGTTAAGGGTCTAAGTTGGTAAGGCTGATCTCAAACTTTCGATCCTCCTGCCTCAGCCTCCTCAGTAGCTAGGATTACAGGCATGTGGGATTACACTCCTGGCAGATCATGCCTCTTTTAAGAACTTCAGTGAAACTTACCAGTTTCATCTGTTGAAGGTTCATTCACCAGATCTGCAAAGGTACAAAACAGGGAATGAAAAATGCAGGTGAAAAAAGTATCTACCAGAAGCAGGATAAAGGGGATGATTATCTAAAAGGTGATGAGAAGGATAAAAATGAGGGCATGTGGACTCTTGGGTAAAGAAAGAAATGAAAGAGGTAATAAGACTGAATATTTTTACTGCAATGGTGGCTTCTAAGATGGGCAAGAGCCAGGCACAGTGGTGTATACCTGTAATCCCAGCAGCTTGAGAGGCTGAGGCAGGAGAATTGTGAGAGGCTGAGGCAGGATGATTGTGAGTTCAAAAGCCAGCCTCAGCAACAGTGAGGAGCTAAGCAACTCAACTCAGTGAGACCCTGTCTCTAAATAAAATACAAAATAGGACTGGGGCTAGGGGCTCAATGGATGAGTGCCCCTGGGTTCAATCTGGGCACCAAAAAAAAAAAAAAAAGACAAGAGAGCTCTGGTCTGGGTGAGCACACAATGCCCACCAAGTTTTTTGTTTGTTTGTTTTTGTTTGTTTGTTTTTTGGTCAGACATTATCCTCAACCCTTGTATTCCCAATATGATAGCAAGAAAGTTACCAAAAAAAAAAAAAAACAGTGGGGGTGGATAGCTTACTGGGATCTTCTGTGAATGTTTCTGGAGTCACATCATCTGAAAGAAAATCAGAAAACATTTTTTGAGCACTCTATGGCTCCCTCTACACTTGCACTTCCAATAAATGACATTATCAAGCACAACACCAGTACATGGTTAAGTATCCCCTAAATTGTTTTTCTTTATCTGCCTATAATAATTACAATGGATTGATGATCTCTTTGCTAATCACAAATTCTACCACTAAGCTATACCTCCAGCCCAACATTTATAATTTTGATATGAATTTGCTGATAATGCTATTATACAGAGTGCCTACAAAAGGTGGTGGTGATGATTTTCTGATGCTCAGAAATGAGAGAGGGGGTGGGGGCTGCCAATGTTAGTAGACAACTCTTTGCATTTGATCATCGGAAAATTAAAGGCAGGAAGAGAGGAAATAAAAATGGTCCAGATCTTTGGGTGGATTATATTAGGAAATACTGAGAAAACTATATCTGGGATTTTAAATAATAGTGCTTTTAAAAACAAATTGTCTTTTCTATTATTCTTATTATTTGGTGTTGTAGATTGAACATAGAGCCTTGTACATGCTAAATACATATTTTACCTCTGAACTATGTTCTTAGCCTACTGTCTTTACATTAAAAGCAAAAAACAAAAAACAGCAATCAAAAAAGCAGTTCTAATGTTTCATTTTTAAAAAAATATCTTTTTTTATATGGACACAATATCTTTATTTATTTTCATGTGGTGCTGAGGATCAAACCCAGTGCCTCACGTGTGCAAGGCAATGTTCATTTGTCTCATTTTTAAATTAACTTTCTTCTTCCTTTTTTCTGGGAATAAATCCAAAGGTGTTCTACCACTGAGCAAAAGCCCCAGCCCTTTTTACTTTTTATTTTGAGACAGAAGATCTCGCCAAGTTGCAGAGGCTGTCCTCACCTGAACTTTCGATCTTTCTGCTTCCATCTCCTGAGTAGCTGGGATTATAAGCATGGACCACCATGCCCAATTTAAGATTTTCATTGATTATTATTCATGCTAGACAAGGGCTCTATCACTGAACCATACTCCAAGCCCAAAATTTTGCTTTTTTTTAGATGTCAATGGACCTTTATTTCTTATTGATATGTGGTGATGAGATTCAAACCCAGTGCTTCACACATGCTAGGCAAGCACTCTACCACTGAGCCCCAATCCAGCCCTTTGCTTTGTTTTTAAAAGTATACATTTGTATTAAGTGTACAAATGATGTGTTTTTTATACATTTATTTACTTATTTATTTATTTATTTATTTATTATGTGGTGCTGACGATGGAACTCAGTGCCTCACATGTGCTGGATAAGTGCTCTACCACTGAGCCCCAACCCCAGCCCCACAATGTTTTTGATATATATTCACAAAGTGAAATAATACTACAGTCAAGCAAATTAATTATGTCTATATTCTTACATAGTTACTGTGTAGGTGTGTATGTGGTAGGGAGAGAKAGGGAGAAAAGAGCATCTAAAATCTGCCATCTTGGCAAATAACTTTTTTTTTTTTAAAGCAGATACCACATTTTTTATACCTTTATTTTATTTAGCCATTTTTATGTCGTGCCGAGGATCAAACCCAATGCCTAGAACATGCTAGACAAGCGCTCTACCACTGCTCTGAGCCACAATCCCAGCCCAATAACTTTTAAATACTGTATTTAGCAAATGTTCCATCTGGAATTGTTTGAATAGTTCATAGTCATAATCTATTCTGTCCACTAGAGGTCAGCAAATTCACAAAGTTTGCTTTGACTTTTTAATTTAATTTTTTTTTTTTTTTTTTTTTTTTTTTTGGTACTGGGGATTGCACCCAGGGAAGATTTCCCATTGACCTACATCCCCAGTCCTTTTTATTTTCTTATTTTAAGACCAGAGTCTCACAAAGTTGCCCAGGCTGGCCTTGAATTTGCAATCCTCCTGTCTCAGGCTTGGGAGTTTCTAGGATTATAGGCATACACCACCGTATCCAGAAGAATCAATGTTTTTTTTTGTTGTTGTTGTTGTTTGTTTGTTTTAATAAAGCACGTCAGAGTTATTGATAATTGTAAGGAGGAAAACTACAAATAAAGCATTTCGTAAGCATTTCTTCTGGTTATCTCATTCTTTTTTTCTGTAAACTTCAGATAAAACAGATAGAAATTTATCCGATCTGATAAGCATCTTTTTTTTGTGCCTGTTGCTAAGTATTGAACAGGATCTCTCATAAGCTAGGCAAGCACTCTATCCCTGAGCTACACCCTCAGCCCTGAGCCTTGTTAACATTCAGAAAAAGCTTTCTTCTTTCAGAACAAATTTTGATAAAAGGAATCCATCTCTGTTCCAATATCACAGGATTTTTTCTTTTCTTTTCTTTTTTTTTTTTTTTTTGTCTTGGTACTAGGGATTTATCCCAGAGGCTCTCTACCACAGAGCTCCATCCCCAGTCCTTTTTATTTTTCATTTTGAGACAGGGTCTTGCTAAATTGCTGAGACTAGACTGTCCTCAAACTTGCATCCTCCTGCCTCAACCTATCCAGTTTCTTGGATTATATCTATGCACCACTGGGCCCAGCTATCACAGGATATTTGAAATATTATCACTAACCCACATCATTCTAGAGATTATGAGAGGCAGATGGAGCCTCTCAAAGGTGGAGCCCAGTTTCAACCCACTTTCTCCCTTTCTCCAGAGGCTTCTCCACATTCCAGTCCAGACACACACATAGGTAGAGTGAAGCCACCGGAGGGAAGAGTTTAAGAGCATGGTCTGTCCTTTGGTTTTCAGGGCAGAGTACTGCTTTTCTGTATATATTGCAGTTAAACCAACTTTTTCATGAGCTACCACTGTGAAATCCTTACTCTAGGTTTCATGAAGTTCTCTGAAAAGGAATCCTTAGAAATTTTCATCATAACTTATACTTTTTATGTTAAAAAAGAATCCTAAAGTCATAAGACAGGACTGGTCCTTACCACCCTAGAGAAATCGACTCAGAGTTTTAATTTTACTAGTGCTGTCTCATTCAAAAACTTAGCAACTCAGATATTTTTACCAATAACAGGAAAAAAAGTTTATTTCTATATTTTTATCTTCAGTACCAGGACTTTCAGCAAGAAATGTATATTATACGGGCCCTGTATACAAAAATGTAAACCTGAAACAACTTTTGTAAAATAATGCTTTACTCTTACAAAACACAAATAATAAATTCTGATACATTTAGTTTACCTTAAGTTGTTAAAAAAAATACCAGTTGTGACCCACTAAATTAATTTTATGACTCATTGGTAGACTATATATTTCAGTGTTCTATTCTCTAGCCCTCATGGGCTGGGAAAAATAAGGTGACATATTATAATCATGTCAAAAGCTTTGAGGCAGGGTGGAGTTTCCTTAATCAGATTGAAGGAAGAGTCCTTTAGGAACCAAAACTTTTGAGTCCTGTCCAGTTGTGCCACATTTTCACCATAGAACTGCCAAGATTTCTTGCCCTGTTTTTACATTTTAGTTTTTCCACTATTATGTGGATAGAATAATGCTTTCTGGGGGCTGTGGGTGTAGCTCAGTGATAGAATGCTCATGTAGCAGGCTCAAGGCCCTGATTCAATTCCCAGTGCCACATAAATAAATAAATATCCTTCCCAAATCATAAACAAACAAACAAAAAGTAACAAACAAAAAAAATAGACCTAGGGATGTAGGTCAGTGCTAGAGCACTTGTCTAGCATGTATAAGGACCTGGGTTCAATCCCCAGCTCTGGAAAATAAAAAAGAGAATGTTTTCTTGCTGGACCTGGTGTCACAGAACTGTAATCCTAGTGACTCAGGAGGCTAAGGCAGGAGGATTGAGTTCAAGATCAGCCTCAGCAATTTCATGAGGCCCTAAGCAATTTAGTGAGATCCTGTCTTAAAATAAAAAATTAATCGTTAAGTTCCAGGCCAGCCTCAGCAATTTGGCAAGACCCTGTTTCAAAAAAATAAAAATAAATAAATAAATAATGAAAAGGGCTGGGATGTAGCTCAATGGTAAAGCACCCTGGATTCAACCCTCAGAGCAAAAAATAAAATAAAATAAATAATAATAATAATGTTTTCCACAAGGATTGAAGGGTAATGAGTATTTTCTTGAGTTAGATAAGAGATCTGTAGAGGAGAGTGGAAAGGAAAGAGAAGAGATGGGCATAGAAAAGTTATTGGGAAAGATGTTTCAGTAGTGGAAAAAAAAAAAGAAGGTTTTTATGAATAAGATTATAAGATTGTGGAAGCTGGTAAATTAGATCCTGTTTCTTATGCCTTGGCAATGCATTTTTCCCCCCAGGAAAGATTCTTTTTTGTTTTTCCTGGTACTGGGGATTGAACCCAGGGGTTCTTAACCACTTAGCCACATACCCAGCCCTTTTATTTTTTATTTTGAGACAAGGTCTCACTAACTTGCTTAGGACCTCGCTAAATTGCTGAGGCTGACTTTGACCTTGTGATCCTCCTGCCTCAGTCTCCTGAGCTGCTGGGATTACACCAGATTCTTTAACTGTTCATCTATATTATCCTGATAAAAACCCCAATACAGCCCATATTCAAGGCTTCACCTACCTCCTCGTTGACCATCGACCCCCAGAGTTATCCATTCTGCAGGAAGGAAGAAGAAAGGAGATATGAATGACTCCCACTGTATGCGCCATAAGGCTTTCATGAAGTGAATCAGAACACGATGTGGAAATGGTTGAGTATGATCTTTAATTTATTCCCATAAGCTCAACACAAAATTGCTCAGACTACTAGTGCTATGCACAAAACTGATAGAAATGGAAACAATCTAGAAAGGCAAGTTCCTGAGAAAATGCCCTGAATCAGAATGTTCTCTTTTCTTCATGCCCAGCCAGGAAGGGTTCTTTTGCACAAGGGGGTCCAGCAGCCTTTCTAGCCTCACAGCCTTCCATTGGCACCCTATTGAACAAGGCAGAAAAATTACTTTCTCAGTCTCTATCTGGTAGAATAAGGGGGAAAAAATAGAATGGTATTTCTTTAAAGTCCAGGGTTACTTTTTGTGACCAATCATTTAGCTAGATTCTGCGAAAATCTGTGAAGATCGTTTTTTCTTTTGAGTGTAGGTGTCTGTTTCTTGCATGCATATGAATATATTTATATAACTGTTCATGCAGATGTTAGGTATCGGTGTATACATTCCCACCAGTTTTCTTCAGGATTTAAATCTTGTTCATTTTCTTATTATATATTCTCTATACATTTGTGTATATATTGGTATATTAGATTCTTTTTCTTCAGGTGTTTGTTTACTTGTGTATTTGTGTGTGACTCCCTTTTAGTGGTAATAAGCAAGTGTGTGCATCATAGTTTCACCCTAGTTTCCTAGGTTCAGGCTGTCTTTTCCCAGTGGAAGGTCATCTCTGGTCACATTCCTGTCCTTTCTAATTTGACACAAAATCTGTTGTTTCCTTCTCTTTAATTTAAAGCAGTTCTAGAACTCAGTTGTCAGGCATGTCTCCTCTCAATCCCCTTTAATCTTGGCCCATTCCACCTTCTAACACACAGCTCCTCATATAGATAGAGCTAGGAAGCTGACATTTTGGGGAGAGAAGAATAAAAATAGGGACTCACCAGATGTGATGATGAGTGCAGTGAGAAACAGCAGCGCTTTGGGGCCAAAGAGCAGCATATCTGATGGGGTAGTGGGAAGAGTAGAGAGGGTGATGCTCAGGGACACACTGACATTTTGCCCCAGGAAAAGGTACCCCAGTAGCTGGTTTCTTGTCTTCCCAGGAGCTTTCTTGGTTTCTCTTTGACTCAAACCCTTTCTCTCTTTTATTATCTTTCACACAACATTTATTTCTCCCTCAAATCTGATCTGTTCTTTGGTAATTTACTATTAGTCCCTCTTACTACTCTTTTCTACCAAATTAGCAGAATTTCTTTTTCTTTTTCTTTAAGACTAAGTCTCACTACGTTGCCCAGTCTGGCCTCAGACTCCTGGGCTTAAGCACTCCTCCTGCTTCAGCTTCCCAAGTAACTAGATTTGTAGATGCTGGGACACTGCATCCAATTTTCAGAGGAATTTTTGTACTCTAAATAGTCCATTCTTTGCCAAACCCCATGGCCTTTTTCACCCCTCATATCTAAGCTTCTTTTTGTCTATCTCTGTCTTCTTTGTGTCATCTGCTCATCCTGGTTACTCCTCTTTTTGGAATTCCATGATAATTTGGGAGTCTGCTCAATTCTAAGTTCAGCAGCATTCCCCACTTCCCCTCTACAGCCTTTCAGTACACACACACACACACACACACACACACGCACGCATACACACACAATGCACACACAATCCCTCTGTCTCTACAGAGTTTTATAATGGAGCAACTCACTGTCTCTGGTGCTCCGCTCTCTGCTGTCTCCACTGAGTCCTTTGGCGGCTGTGTCTCTGTCCTCGCACTGTTCTCCTTTGGCTGGAGAGTAAGATGAACAGAGCCACGCCCTGGGAAGGACTTCAGATTTGGCCTAGTCTGAAACAATGAGATGAGGGAGAGGGAAAAAGAGAGAGAGAAAGCCAGGCTAGAGGCCCAGAATGCAGTGTTACAATAAGGCTGGAATGAGAAGGGAGAAGGGAATTTGTAGTCATTCACACCCTCATTCCAAAGGTTATGACCACACTGGTGAGAGATCTTGCTGCTCCCTAGAAGAGTTGGCCCACATTCATGTATGCCTCTTCCATCCGCTTATTTTCCCTCTTACTGTCTGGCCCAATCTTCCTTTACTCTGTGGGTTCCTTTTTACCTTACTAGTCCCCTCTCATTCTTGGGGTGTTTTATTGCACATTAGCAGACTTTATTTCTGTCTCTCTTTCTTCCATATTTGAATCATTCCTCCATTCCTCTCTTTTTTCTTTTTGGTACTGGGGATTGAACCCAGAAGCCCCCCACCACCGAGTCACATCCTCAACCTTTATTATTTTACTTTGAGACAGAGGCTCTCTAAGGTCCTGAGGCTGGCTTCAAACTTGTGATCCTCCTACCTCAGCTTCCCAAATTACTGGAATTATAAGTGTGCACCACAACACTCAACTCTATTCTTTTTTATTTGTTTTATGTTTTTCTTTTTTGTGTGTGTGTGTGTTTGTGTATATGTATGTGTGTGTGTCTTTTTAATATTCATCTCTTCAGCACATTCCTTTGTATCTCTGTACTTCTTTTTCTTCTTTGCCTCTTTCTTGACTCACACATCCAGGCTCTTGTTTTTTCCCTTTGGGGTTATCCTATTTATTCTCACATCCAAGCAAACACAGACACCAAGTGAGGTTTGTCCAGGAGAAAGTCTGGCTATCTTGGAGTTATAAAAAGTTGAAGCATTCAGAACTGTCCAAATCCTTTTCAAATGTGGAGGAGCTCCATGAGAGGAGCCAGTCTTATTTTGTCTTTGACTTTGTTTAGACTTGTGCTAAGAATCTTAGTTTCTGAAATTTGAAAAACAAAATGCCTTAAGAAGCCTAAAGAAAATTGGGAGTCAAGTTCATTCTACTTATTTTCTATCAGTATTTTTTCTCAGATCATATAATATGCTGACAACATTCTCTCTGATCCAGGAATCTTAAAAAGATTTTGTATTTGCTCTCCTTCATAAACATTTCCACATTAGAAGAAGTGGACTTGAGTTACCGAAACTTAAGGTTGTGGAATGTTTGGCTTTATATGCAATAGAAATATCCTCAATTTCAAGTCACCTGCTAGCTCCTTTAGTGTATGTTATATAGCACCCTGATAAGATAAATTAGACTGTAGATAGAGATCAAATAGTACGAATAAATTACAGACTAGAAGAAAAAATAAATGATGGAAAGAAGAAAGGAAGGTAGGTGCTTGGTTAGAAAGGAGAAAGGAGGTAGAGAAAGCAATGAAAATAGTCAGAAATAAGCAAATTGCACTCCATAAGCACCTCTGGTCCCTCTGAGGGAGGTGTAAGTGTTGCATCTCTGAGATACATGGATTCTGGTCAGTTCCCAGAACAAGAACGAGTACACTCTTGGGCTGGGTTCATGGCTCAGTGGTAGAGCATCAGACTAGAATGTGCAAGGCCCTGGATTCAATCCTCAGCACTACATAAATATAAATAAATAAAATAAAAGTATTGTGTCCAACTACAACCAAAAAGTAAATATTAAAATAACAAACAAACAACAACACAACAAAAAAGAAAACCCAGCTCTTCCTGATCTGCTTGACCCAGAACTTGCCCTTCTTCCATCTGGTCCATAGTGAGGGGGCAGAGGCTAGAAAACAGATGTGATTATAGTTTGAAGAGAGGGAGAGAAAAAGTTGAGGTAGGGGGTGTGAGGGGGGAAAAAAAGCGGATGCAAAGCAGAGCTAAGACGACATAGACTAGAGAGCCTAGAGCAACAATCATGTTTTCCATAAAGCTTAGACAGATGGGGAAACTGAACTCAGGCCAATCGTTTGGCAGGGAGAGCAATGACCTCAATGTGCTGGCCTAGCTAGAGACTATGGTTTAGGAAAGCCTCCCCAGGCAGTAGGAGGGGACCATCTCCTGGGGTCTTAGGAGGAAGTCTGAAAGCTAGGGCAGTGAAAATGAGAACAGAATGTTCAGAGCAAGGCCAAAGAAAAGGGATGAGGGAGGAAAGCAGCACCTTAGAAGGCAGGGAGACACAGAAAATCAGAACAGCTATATGTTTGGGGGCTTCGTTGACTTCCAAGAATCCAGTTTGTTGCCAGACACAGTGGTACACATCTGTAATCCCAGGGTAATCCCAGGGACTCTGGAGGCTGAGGCAGGAGGATTCTAGATTCAAGGCCAGCCTGAGCAATTTAGCAAGACCCTGTCTAAAACTAAAAATAAAAAGGGCTGGGATGTAGCTCAGTGTGTAAGATCCTGGGTTCAATCTTCAGTACTGCCACAAAAAAAAAAAAAAATCCCAGGTTGGGATACACAGTGGCACACATCTGTAATACCAGTGACTCAGAAGGATCTCAACTTCCAGATGAGCTCAGCAACTTAGTGAGACTCTGTCTCTCAAAATTAAAAAAAAAAAAAAAAATAGAAAGGGCTGGGGATGTTGCTCAGTGGTTAAATGCCCTTGGGTTCAATCCCCGAATTCCTCCAATCTAAAAACAAACAAACAAATAACAACAAAAAAAAAAAACCATCCAGTTTGTTCAGGGTAATTTAGTTTGGTTAATTTCTTCCTGGTCACTGTAAAGGTGTTCCCTTTTTTCTAACACAATTCCCCATTTGTTTTCGAAGTCCAAGCTTGGATGTTCAAGCTCATAAGAGCTTCAAATTTACTTATGTCAGGGTGATCTGGTCAGCTCTGTTGTATTACACCATCAGCTTATCATTTAATTACATCAAGTCAAAGTCAATGGCCAGAAATGAGAAAATGCCATCTAGAGATAGAAGCCTATAATTTTCGGAGGCTGTCTATGACTTGGGATGAACTCCTTGGGCAATAGTCCATATTCCCATTCCACATAGGCTACATCTTCTGTGTGAAGAGAACACATTTCCAGTAAAAGAAAAGCCCTCTGTGGAACTGAGTGGCAGGTGTAGAAGTGACTTAATAAAGGCAATCTATGGTAATGCATTCCGCTGTCGTGTATTTAAAAAAAAAATCAATAAAACTTAAAAAATAAATAAATAAAAATAAAGGCAATTTATGTTTGAGTTAACCAGAAAACTTTTTTTTTTAAAGTTCTGTGGAAAATGGGTAAAATACAAAGAAAAACAAGGGAGACAGAGATGGGAGACAGCAGGCTGGCTTTATTCATCTGTTTATTAGCCTATAAAGAATACACCCATTAGCTGAAGGCCTCTGGGCAAATGTACAGAAACATTACTACACTCCAATCCAACTAAATTAAATCCAGGGGCTAACACACACACAMAAAAAAAAATTCCCATAAAAGGAAGGAAAAATACGAGAGGAGGGTTGTATGAGGTGGGGGAGGAGTAGAGGGAGCAGTATGTGTAGAGAGATGAAGCAAAGAATTAGTAACAGCCAAATGCAAAATAAGGACTTAGATGCCAGTAGGCATATGTTCTCAGAAAACCAGGGCTAGGGAAAATTTGTTTCTCCCTCAAAATCCAGCCTAGATGTTATCTCCTCCCCAAAACCTTTCCTGATTCCCCTGTTCCTAAAGAGTTAATCATTCCCTCTACTGAGTCCTTTGTTTATTTTTATAATCTCAGGATCATCTTTATTAAGCTCTTTTACATATCTTTAATCTCTATTCATCTGCAAGTTCCTTGATGGCAGAGTTTAAGTCTTACCCATTACCAGCTGACATAATGGTTAACATATGAGAACTAAAATATAGTCACTGGAATTGAGTGGAGATGAAGACTTGAAACAGTAACTTTCCATTTCTGAAGTATAAACATTCAAAGACTTAGTTAAATAGAAAGGGGGTACAGGATAAAGTTTTAGTAAAGTAAGCAATTTGAGAGTACACAGGGAACTGTTGCAAGTGGAACGAGTAAGCAGTTATTAAAGTGATCTGAAGGTAACAGAGCAAAAGAAAATAGGTACAAGGTATAGTGGATCACACCTTTAATCTCAGCTACTCAAGAGACAAGAGGATAGCAGTTCAAGATCAGCCTCAACAACTTAGTGAGACCCTGTCTCGGCATAAAATTTTAAAAGAGCTATAGATGTAGTTCTGTGGTAGAGGAATTGCCTGGCACATTCCAGGCTCCACTGGACTGGGATTATCATTTTGCTTTGTATAAATTTTCTGATGGCACTGCTGGTCAGTCTTGCACTATTACATCCATTCTCACTTGACTGTGCAAATGTAAAATGTTTGATCTAGATTCAGGATTCTGTTACAGTTCCTGAAACAGAACCATCAGCAGCAACAACAAAAACTTTAAAAGCTCTGATAAGACTGGCTATAGACAAAATAGGACAAATATTAGAAATTAATTTAAGAAAGGGAAGTCCCTATCTTTTCATCTCCACTCCACACCCTGCCCCCAAGAAAAACCAGATAGAGAAACTAGAATTTGAAAATATGAAAAAAAAAATCCCAGGAAAGTTCAGTGTACCTAAAACTATTAATAAATAATAATAGGTAATATAGTTATATCAGCCCATTTATGTAACAAATATATATATATTTTTTATATACTATATGTGCTAGGCAGCCTCCAAGATGGCCCCCAGTGTTCCCTGTTTTCATTCTCTCCCCTTTGTGAAATACTCTCGTTGATAGTGGACTGGATTTGGGGACTACTGGCAAACAGAATACAGCAGAAGTGATAGGATGTCACTTCTAAGGTTAGGTTACACAAAGATTCTGGCTTCTGTCTTTGGTGCTCTCCCTCTCTTGCTTGCTTGTTTGCTCTGAACAAAACTTGTTGCCGGGCAGTGAGCCACTTTAGAGAGATGCCTACATGGCCAGGAACTGAGGTCTCCAGCCAGCAGTTAGGAACCTCAGGCCTGCCAAAAGCCATGAGTAAACTTGGAAGTGAATCTACTGTCAGTTGGTTGGGCCTTGAGAAGTCTGCAACCCCAGCCAACACCTTGATTACAGCCTTTGTGAGATACCCTGAGCCACAAGTATGGCATAGGCTG